TTTGGGCTTTGTTCGCCGCTCGCAGTCCGAGGGCGCGGGGGCTCCGGTGGCGCTCCCCCTTACCCCGGGAAGAAGCATCTCCAGTGCCCTGAGCGGGGCTGAATTCGCTGGTTAGCGTGGGGCCTGTAAGATCTTAGTTGAGGTCGTGACCAACTCAACTCCTGCGCCTGCAAGACCCTGCGGAGCCGGAGATCTCAGCCCGGGGCCTGCGATCCTCGAGACCCACAGGCTTCTTGTGGGACGTGTGTTTGGGAGAGTCTCAGAGCTGACACCGGATTTCAGATAACCTCCAAAGAGTCAGAACTTCCGCTTAGGGTGTAGACGCTCTGGAGAGGCCTTTCGATGTCCCCAAAGGGCGTGTAAGGGTTAACAGTACCGGAGCGCTTTCCCCCAAAGGCGCTCAGTGTTTAAACGGTTAAAAATGATGCATTTCTTCATCCACTTAACTGATGAGGAAACTGGGGCGCAGAGTTTCAAAGAGCCTCTCCCAGCATCACACGGAGGTGGATTTCCACATGGGCTCAGGTGTTTTCTGATGGCATCCTTAACCCCTGTGCAAAGGGGTCCCGTGAAAATGTTTTATGACTGCCCTCTCATTGAAAGGGTCAGCCCATCAGATGGTAGGGGAGAGCCCATGTCAGTGGAATGTCTCACCTGGCGTCTGGGACCGGGACGGTGCCAGGAACTAGCCACAGCATTGAGAAACTGGGGCGCAGGAACGGCTTTCCCTTGACAGATCTCATTCTCTGTGTGGGACTGTAGCCATTGGCCGCTCCAGTCCTGGTGTATGAGGAGGAGACTGAACAAAAAGGCCAGCTGAGCTCTGCCTCTGCTGCGTTCTCTGTGCGTGAGTTCCTTCAGCTGTAGGGCTCCACTCCGCCTGACTGAGCGTGAGCTTTCTGGTCCTGAAGGAAGAGATTCTGACCCCAACACCAAGGTTCGCCCAAGAGTGTGGTCCCAGAGGGACGCCTCAGTGGCTCAGTCGGTCAAGGGTCTGACTTCCCCTCAGGTTGTGATCTCTCAGTTCATGAGTTTGAGCCCCGTGTGGGGCTCCGGCTGGGCTGACAGCTCGGAGCCTGGAGCCTGCTTGGTATTCTGTGTCTCCCGCTCTGTCTCTCTCTTTCTCAAAAATCAATAAACATTAAACAAACAGAAAAAGAGTGTAGTTCCAGGGAGAGTGTGTGCAAGGCACACATGACTCTCCACCAGCACTGTGCGTGGCTGGCTTGTCTGGTGGGAACGGCACTTTCTCAGTCTCACTGAGCGACTCCTTTGATGCCTGGGGGTAGACAGACCGGGCAGTCCCCCGCAGCTTGCATTTGCTTTGTGTTTTCATCTCTAGGATCTTTCAAGTTCTTGGTTCTTCTGTACAGATCTACGCGTACCTTCCCCCATCCCCTTAAAAAACAAGGGGCCTGTTAAGCATTAGAGCAGTTTCCTTTGGGCCAGTCCGCACCCTCCTAGGCTGAGCGCATCTAGGATACTGAGGGTTCAGATGCCTCATGGAAAGTGAGTACGCCGAGGTTTAAGTTCTTGTTAGCATCTTTTGGGTTGGGTCCGGAGTCCAGGCCAGGCCCTGGTGGGTCTCCTGCTTGGCCCCAGGTTCCTGGGTTCCAGGGGAAACATAAGGTCGCCTTCTGCTAAGCTGTCCCGCCCCAGGCTGCCAGCAGCCCCTAGCTTGTTTCAAAGAAGGTTTTCAACCGCTGTTGAGGGCTTCCTGAAGGAGGTGTGTGTGAGAGCGGCTGCCAGGAGTGGTCTGGAACCGGAAGCTGCATAAGTTGGACTCCTGAAAGGTGAACCCAGATGCTTGTGTGGTCGAGGGGCAAGGTTGCCGTGAGTAAGTAAAGGTGTTGTGTTTTTGTAAAACATCTCATAGGATTTCAGTGTCAGGAAATGCTCCCTTCGCGGTTTATGTGCAGTGCTGTGAGGTGAGCGTTTTATGATGGTCTAGGGTCGATGGCTTGTGAGCTCCATAAGCCCGTAGGTGACTCAAACAGTCTTGGCAGAATCCTGGAAAACAAGTGAGTGTCCCAAGCCGTCCGGGTCTTTGTAGTTCCTTCAGTGTTGGTTTGCTAAGGTTTTGTAGACCCTGAGACAGGTCTGCTCCATCTGAAAGGGCCTGATAAATACGACTGAAAAGCGAGCTTGAAGTCTGTTTCAGTTGATAGCCCGTTAGGAAATTTGTCATTGCTGCCATTTCTCTGAACCATCTTCTCTCTGCCAAGGGTGGCGCTTTTTTAGGAGGATATATGTGAAGAGGTTGACTCTCAGCCTCATGAACATGCTCCTTGCACTTGGGCAGTAATTCAAAAATCGCTTTGAACCGGAAACCCCATTTTGTTGATCGGAGAAACTCTGCGTTTTGCTGGCATGGCCATTCATCTCGGCCCAGCTTACGGGAGGCAGCAAGGTGAAGTGAAATTAACTCATCCTGTTGGGGAGACTGTTTGGCCGGCTTCATAGCCACCTGGCCTTTAGACGCAAAAAGCAATCTCTTGGCCCATCAGGGAAGGTTGGATCATACCTTGCAGGGTCACCTAGCCTCCGGCTCGCAGCCCTGACAGCCATGGGGGGGTCCTCTGGCTGGGAGCCAGCAGGCTTTGGGGTCTTTCCTACCTGATGTCCTGGCTCAGGTCTGTGACCAGGAGGGACATGGGCTGTGATCTAAAGGGCGTTAGGAGTTGTCATTTTAATTTTTTATTTCATAGAAGGTAAAGGGGAGAATTAAATTATGGACAAAGTCGGCGACGGATGGCAAACAACTGTGTGGATAATAGCAGTGAAATCAAGTCTGTTACTTTGACCTCACGTGTGAGGACGTAAGGCCTGTGATGTAAAAACCTGAGTAAGATGACAGTCTCTCTGTAGGAATCAGACCACAGAGACTGGAGTAGACTCCACTGACCGAGGCTTTGCACACACCTCGTATCGGGAAGGTGGGAGTTTTGTGTGAGCACGTAGCTGGCTCGGTGAGCCAGTATCCATGGGCACCTGCTCATCGTGCAGTTGCTGGCACGTGCGGGTCACAGAGGAAACCCGTCCCTTCCCCGGGCCAGGGCAGAAGGTCTGGCCATCTGATGGAGTGGCAGAGGTCCGCAGGGGCCACCTGCGAGCTATTGCTCTAGCAAATGCCTCTCGATGTCACGGGTTGATGGTCACATTGCCCCCCCCCCCCCC